GTAAAATAAATAAAAAAGATAAAAAGAGAGATTAGTTATCTCCCTCGTGTGCGGGTGCGGCTTCCCTCCGCGTGTGTAGCCTTCTCTCCTGTCCGTGCGTCTTGTCTGTCCGCTGTTTTTCTTTTTTTTCCGCTCCTGCGTGCGTTCCCCTCTTTTGTTCCACCTTCCTCCTCTGTTAAGAGTCCAGCCAATCAAAACAAAAATCCCTCAAGTCTTGTTTCCCAAGTCAAACTCTCGTGCATGACTTAATTTGTTGCCCACGTGTATAACCTATTCACCAAATAAATTGCTTGCACATGAAATATTACCAAACAAATTGATTAAGCTTTGGTCCCAAATCCAATCAGTTATTTTCATGCCAAAATTCAAGACCCAATATTATAGATCCTATTTATTAACATCTTCAAGTATGCTTCAAATTGTCGAAACTAAATCATAAAATAATCAAAGCAAAAGAATCCATCTAAATAATAAATAGGTCGAAAAATACAAACATGCGATTAAATTAAGCATATAAAAATACACTTGTAAACATATAGAACGTGCACATTTTTCGACCTATCAGTAATCATGATTGTCATGTTTCTTCTTTATTTTTCTTTTTAATGTGTTGGCCATTTTCGTTGCGGAAAAGGCGCGTTTTCTTTGCGGGATTCCGCCTTTTGGAGAGGACTTTCAAGATATGGAGAGAGAAACAAATTTGCTGATTGGAAATAAATCTCGTACAAATGTAAAAGAAATCAGTAATTAATCCTATTTTGATTATGTTTCACACAAATTGTATTTATGTAAATATATCTACACTAGGGGTCATCTATGTATTTTTCCCTCTGTTTTTAGCCCATTATAATTTCCAGCCCATTGGTAAGCCCACCTACTCTACAATTACATTTATAAGTAACTATATTAACAAAGCATATGTAACATAACCATATTATCAATCAACATTAACTTCTAAATTAAACACATCTTAAGTGCATGAAAAAAAAAGAACATTAAAAAAAAGATTATTAATTTGTCAAACACAATATTTAAGTCAACTGTTTGTAAGTACAAATCTTTTAAATGGCATAGCAGTGGGAATCCCTTAAGTACAAGCAGTCATTGCACAGTGGCCTTAAACTGTAATAGTCATATATAACACATATATATGAAAATTGCAAATTAAGTCCAAAATTTGTTGTTTCTTATATATGTTAGAGAGTTAACAACAAATGTTTGGAGTTACAACTCCTCCTTAATTTAATTTAATTTAATTTAATTTAATTTATTTTATTTTACTCTTTAATTAGGGGCTTCTCCTTTTTGTTCACCACTACTTGTAACAACCTCCAACTTTGAGTCCACAAGGCTCCCACCATTGCTCATAATTGTGCCTTGCTTGACTGGTATTTTTTGCTCTTCAACCCTTGGGGTTTCATATTCTTTCTTTTTGCCCCAAACAACAAAATAAAGCCCCATAACTATGACAATTGCACCAACAACCCTGCACAAAGAAGCAAACCATTACATCTTTATGGCCAACACACCCATATGTGATTCACTAACAAGGGCTTGGATATTCATTTTATTAAAGAAAGTAAATTTGCATATAAAAGCACTATCTTTAAGGTTTTTACAATATTCATCACATAATTTTGATATTTGCGTTTAAATCACCACCTTTCGTATGTTATTCAAATCGAAACATAAATTCAACTTTCATCGATGGGAGCTGACGGAAGGCTGCAGAATTTCTGTTAGCTCCCATTGACAGAAGTTGAATTTATGCTTCGACCAGCATAACATATGAAAAGTTGTGATTAAATTGCAAAAATCTTAAATGGTGTACCTTTATATACAATTTTTTCTAATTAAAATAAGCGATCTACAGTTAATTGTCGTACATTTATCATGAAAACGCAATCCTGGATTATGTATTGACATTTTGGTCGTTATTAGGCCAATTAACAACACTTTGTAATCGTCAATATCTATCTATCTATAATAATATGAGATGTAACAAAAAGCATAATCGTGTCGTTACCTTCCCAAGTACATTTGCTCGGCCAGAATAAACGAGCTCAAAATCGCGACAATAACCATGCTCAATGGACTAAATGCAGTCACGAAAACCGGGCCTCTCTCTTTCATTACCACGCCTTGCACGTAATATGCGATGCCCGAACAAAACACACCCTGCAAAAAAAAAAGGAAATATTTAGTAATTAAATTTCCTTTACACCAATAATTTTGTTTAAAAATAAATAAAATTGAGCTATGTGTTTATTGCATTTTCATTTATTTTATTTTTTATTTAAGAAAATTTTAATCTTACACTATAGGCAGCTGCAAGAAACTTGGTGTCCCACTTTATGGCCCAAGCCGCCGGATTCCGATTCTCGGCGACAAGGGCCACGGCCGCGCCCTCTACAGTTCCTAGTAAACAAATCCATGCAGTTAGAGATAGCTCGGCTGGATATGTTCGTAATGTGACTGCCTGCACCAAAAAAAAAATATATATATTTATAATTAAATTAAAATACTTTATAGTTATAAAAATAAAATAAGATTTGAAGGTAAATGGTGTAATTTTATTTTATTTTATTTTATTTTTTCCTTAGCTACCTGCAAGATCATGAAACAGGCCCAACTCAGGCATCCGACAATTATCATGACCGCGCCCTTGATGGAGTCTTGGAGAGTAACTTGGGTTTGATGGTGTTGATCGTGGGCCGGGCCTTGTTTGGTCCATGGAAGGCCCAAATTTGGGCCACTTACTAATGTCATGATCATGGCCCCTGCCACCGTGGCAAGTGTCCCAATTATCTTGGCCTGGCTGCGTATGCTAGTTATCTTTACTTTCTCAAGCCTGTTAAGTTCACAAATTAATCAAAAATAAAACTTCAAATCTTTTTAATCCCATAAAACGAGCCTCAAGATACTCAAGCTCAGCCTCTAGTCTTTATCGAGTCGAGCTAAATCGAGCTCTGTTAGTTAACAAATAAAGCCGATAAATGAGCTCGAGTTCCCTTTGTTTATTAATATTAATAGGTAAAGCTATAAAAATTAGTTAAATTGTTTTTATTATATATCAAACCTTAATGAGCCTAAGTCGACTTTTTAACTAAACAGGCTTTAAAAAACTCGAGCTCGAGCCTTAATAGATCGAGCTCATGAGTTGTTTGTTTCGTTTAACAGTTATAACCGATCGATGACATTATATCATACAAATAAAGAATTCATCAGAAATACATAAATAACAATAAAGTTAATAAAGTTAATAACAGAAAAAGTTCAATATGATGGAGGACAATTTGTCTATTTTGGACTATTAATTTATTACAACCGGCCGTCCTTTCTTTTTTTCCGTTTGTTTTTTACTTGTAAATAGACTTCAACCTTTTGCAGGTTGTTAAAAATCGTGTTTATATATATAAAGTTAAAATAAAGAATAACTGAAAGCGTGACCTGAAGAAACACGCTATTACGAAAGTAATGGCGGGAAGAACGTTGGCCATGGCCGCCGCAAACGTTGCCGTTGTGTACTTCATACCCAGAAAGTAGAGATTTTGGTCTATCACTGGCCTGTTTATTATACATGTTTTTTAATACCAATTAATAATATTTATATATATATATATAACAAATATTGAAAAAAAAATATATATATTATAAAAGAAATTAAATAATTAATTAATTATTATTAAAAACAACTTACTCCAATAGACTCATAACCATGATCTTGACAAATATAGACACAGTCATCTTTGGCCTGATTTTCCTGCAAATTTTGGACAACAAAACCACTTATAG